TAGATGGTGGGCCAGTGCTGCGGCTCACTAGGCTAATCCTCTGCCTTGCGGTGCCGGCACACCGGGTTCTAGTCCCGATCAGGGCGCTGGATTCTGCCCCAGTTGCCCCTCTTCCAGGCCAGCTCTCTGCTGTGGCCAGGGAGTGCAGTGGAGGATGGCCCAAGTGCTTGGGCCCTGCACCCGCATGGGAGACCAGGAGAAGCACCTGGCTCCTGCCTTGGGATCAGCGCAGTGCGCCTGCCGCAGCGTGCTGGCCGTGGCAGCCATTGGAAGGTGAACCAACGGCAAAGGAAGACCTTTCTCTCTGTCTCTCTCTCTCTCACTGTCCACTCTGCCTGTCAAAAAAACAAATAGTAGATGGTGACAGGAAAGGAGCCTATTTACTAAAGAAATGCAACAAAAGCTTCTGAAGATCACTTCCTTTTAAATCCTTCCCTCACCCAGAAAGCAAGCACAAACAACCAAAAACCAAACTCCAAAACCAGAAAATAAAGCAGTGACATTCTACAAAAGGTGAATAGATATCAATGTAATTTGTTAACTGATGGACTGTGTGTACATTCAGAAAGTATCTCAGATGGAATGGATCCTATGGGATGACTTAGTCCTCTAGTTTGCAATCCAATCTGTGTACTGGAATTTCTTGGGGCATTTTTAGTAGAACTCTACTTTTATTTGTTTTGATTCCCCTGACTGGAGATTGGGCTCTGGAATCAGAAAGTTTCAAATCTTGCAGAGAATCCCAACATGCTGTTATGGATAAGAACCACTGCATAGGTGTTTTACCAATAAATAAATGGTGGATGCAACTCTCCATTGCTTATGGTACTGATCAGCCACAAGATTTCAAATTAACTTCTTTGCCCACTAAACATTCTTCACTCCATTTGGACAAAGTACAAGGGTCTCACTAATTCCATAGCTCCCTAAGTCCATCTGCATTTAGTGGGGTTGGTATTATGGTAAATTTTAGTAGACACAAATGTAATGAATTCGTATCTAGTTTCCAATTGCTAATACCAGACATGCTAGAAAAAAAGTGTCCATGGAAGCCAAGAATGCAAACTGCCATGAGGTTTTCAGAGATTCAGTATTGAGAAAATTTTTGGTTGAGTTTTAAGAACTCTACAAGCTGTTGTTGCCCCCACATAATCCTAGAACTTGCGAACACTTCTATCAACCTTCCATAGTATTAGCTAAATGAGGAAGACATTTTAGGACAGCTTGTGGGATGTGTGTAGGGTGGAGATAAAGGGAATGCAGAGATGTTACACCCAAGTCACATGGTAAAAGAAGGGCAAGTGCTCAATTAATTCAACTAGGATTAATAAATATGAGGTTAGTGGAGCAGGGTGGAGTTTTCTCTGGACTTGGGCACACATAAAAAGTACTAAGTGAGGTGGAGGAAAAATAGTGTTTGCAGAACAATGGCGTTCAGATACTGATGAGCTCCCACAGGGATAGATGTCTAATTGCTAGGATTTACAACTCAAGTTTTCCTTCAGTTCTTTTTTAAAAAGATTTATTTATTTATTTGAAAGCAAGAGAGAGAGAGAGAAAGAGAGAGGGTCTTCCATTCACTGATTCACTCCTCAAATAGCCGCAATGGCAGCAGTTATGGCAAGTCAACACCAAGAGCCAGGAACTCTATCTGGGTCTCCCATATGGATGACAAGGGCCCAAGTACTTGGATCATTTTCTGCTGTCTTCCCAGGTTCATTAGCAGGGAGCTGGATTGGAAGCAGAGCAGCAAGGATTCCAGCCAGTGCTCCAATATGGGTTGCCATTCTTGGATCAGCAACTTAGCCTGCTGAGCCAAAAACGAGTCCTATCCTTTAGTTCTTGTCAGAAACTCCTAGGAATTTCATTTCCTATCACACTTCATGTGCCTACCCCACCCCCAGAGATTTAAATCATGTGGAAACAAAGTGGGAATTTTTACGTATCTTCTTAATTTATGGACAGTCAAGTCAAACCAATTGGCAATGATCTTTGTCTCTTATCATCATGGCATTGCCTCAGATTGGAAAGTAGAGCTGCAATCCTTTGTTTACAAGCCTGGTGTCATTAATTCAGCAACTACCCAGGGAGAGGTCACACTTCAGGTATTATCAGTTATAGATACAATAAGATAATTAGGGAATGAGTTTCATCACTTGCTTTCCCAAGAGGCAGTTTTGATAATAACAATCACACCAATAATAAGGAATTTTTAGCCTGCTACCTTTCATTCTTCCACTTTTGTGTGGAAGACTGCAACTTAAGTTTGCCTAGTGCTTTCAGTTAACAGAATACTTTCATATCTTATTATTTAATCATTCATTTTTGCATGTCCCCTTTTCACGGATGAGAAAAGTTGAGCAATGTCTCCTGGCATCCTCTTCAATCACCAGCCTGACGAGGAAGGAACTCGGTCTGGAATGGGGCACTCTGGTGGGTGGAGTCATTCAAGTATTTGGTAGATTGCCCAGAGCAATGATAGCTTTTTCCTTGGAACATGCAGTTTGCTATCTCATGCCACCTCCCCTTCTAAGCTGACAATTGTGAGATAAATGATTAAAAACAAATCAATGGTCTTTTTTTTATTATAAAACAACAATTTATTGAAAAAAGAGTAAAGTTTTGTACAAATACCTTTTATAAAACCCCCAAATATCTATTGGTCAGTTTCCAGGTATGGGAGCAGAGTAGAAAAACATCAAAGTTGGATAAATTCTGGTGTAACAATTCTATTGGATCATTTTGGAATACAGATTTCTCTGTAGAATTTAGCAATTGGTTATCCACATATATTTACACCCACATTCATTATAATGTATGTATGTAGCAAAGGCTGGTATAACTTCTAGAACCATAGATTGTCAAGTTTAGAAACCATATTCAAATTTACTGGGTCCAAATCCTCCTAAGAAATAGTCTTTTGAAGAGCTTTCCCATGTGGTTTCATCATAAAGTACAATTTCCTCACTAAAAAACTAGCAGTGTTAGCTGCCAGCTAATAGCCAAAGCTCCAAAGACAGCAATCAACTGATAGCTATTATATCCCCTTACAAGTCATTATAATTCAAAAAATCTCAAATAATCTTCATTTTGCAAACTGTCAGGGTTTTCCTTCCCCACTGTGTCTGCTTTGCCACATAACGCATCAGGTCATACTGACTGAAGACAATAGAACTTCCTTAGAATTCTTTTCGTTTGCAGTGAGCTGGATTCACATTAATGTCTTGTCACTTCAGAGACTGGTTAAGGCAAGAAATCCATTTATGAACGTTTTGCTCTTCAGACATTTGAAAAGTAACCCCACAACTTATGTACTTCAATTCCTTAATTCTTTTCCCTAGTATAGCACTTTCATCTTGCAAAACCACATTACATGTATATCGTTTCACTGGAACTCTACCACAATCCTGTGAGGTAGGCAGGTCAGGAATTATGAATTCCTTTTTACAGATGAAGCAATAAATCTAGGGCAGCCAAATGCCCTGCCCAAACTCAGACAGTAATTGACAGCACCGAGATTCAAAACCAAATCTCCAGATCCCAAAGCTAACACCTTTTCCATTATATCATCTTCCTCAAGTGAAGCTCCATTTAGAAACAGACTGGAAAACTAAAACAAGTTGTTAAAATGGAATGGAGCACCAACAACACACCAGACACAGCTGAAAGAAAGGAAACGGACCGATGGAAAAGGAAAAAATACTGAATGAATGACGATGTGTGTTTGGTTTTGCTTAGTGACTTCTAAATAGCCAATTGAACAAATAAAAATACTACTTAGGCATATTTCACGTTCAAGGAATGAGAAAAATATCAACTAATTAATATTTACATTACTTCTACCAGCTGGTTAAGTATAATTATATCAATTTGGCAGATGGGAAAAGAGTTAGCAAGATTGCATGACTTGCTCATAGCTATGGAGAGAATATTTGTCACCAGATTATCACTACAAAAATCTAACAGTTTGTTCAGATAAACAGACCACACCTCTCTGAGAAGTGTGTTAAACTGTGTAATAATTACTTATGGGAAAACAAGACAGTTGAGAAGGGACGAAGAAAACGGCATTTTCAGGGATATATAACCATGAACAAGCAGCATAAAATTTAATCAATAAAATTGTTACAACACCTGGGTGAGTGGCATAAAGCTACAAAAGGGGACAAATATTTTCAAAGCAGATAAGTGTGCAATGGGTCAGAGTACAGGGTTTGTGTGGGGAAGCCAACAGGAATATGTCATCCCTATGCAGAAAGATTTTTTTCCCCCAACATGCTGATATGGAAGAGATTATTACTGGCTTTAGGCACAAAAATGTAGGCTATGAAATGCATTATCAGGTTCTGGAGTTAGGGATCAATATAATAGAAACAAATAAGGACTTGATGAATAAGTACTGTAAGATAGAGGTAACAAATTAAAATAATTACATGAAACACATGAAGAACTCAAAGAATAATACTTAGTAAAGTGGGTAAGGTCTTATGACAAAGAAACTAAAAACTGATGAAGAAGGGATGATATCCGACCTCCTATATATGTTATATAGAGAGAAATAAGGGAAGTAATAACATTCTTATTTAATCAACATATAATTAAATGTATTTTTCTAAAGATTTTTAGTATGCTAGTGCCAATATAATGAAGATAAGATCTTTTTACTGTCTTTTTAATAGAAAAACATGTATATATACATATCTATATATATCTATGGAGTACTCCCCATTTGAGTTTGATTACTCAGTGAGAAGCAGTAATACAAATGGAAGGGTTTCCTTCCAGTACTGCAGAAAGATTAAGCCATTTCTAGCAATGGGCAGCCTTAAAAATATTTTTCTAATACCACAGTTCATATTATAATAGTCAAAAGTCTCAGTTAGCGTTAATGTCAATGATGGTATTTCAATGTTCATTTTACGTTCCAACAAGATAACTCCATTCACTTCTGTCACACGTAGTCTTTCCCACTAGAAGGTGTAGGTTTTGGATAGGGCCTTGGTGTTGGGTAAGAGGTGGTTTTCCGAGGACAAGAACAGCAAAGTAGGGCACCTCCCAGAAGGCAGAGAGAAGCAGCAGCCCAGCCAGTGAAAAGAGCCTGACCGAATTCATACCTAAAAAGAAAAGACAATGTATTTGTTAGTCAATCATTGAAAACTTTTGTAACATCAATATTATAATATTTGTTCCACTGAAAATAAACCTCCATGGTCCCTTGGGGAACTGTTTACAGTTTGTGAACACATACCACAAGGATGTTTACTTCGCAAGTATTGACAATTTGCAATAATAGATCAGGCAATACCAGGATAGTACAAAAATATTTGCAAAGACTTCTCCATGTGTAGGAGACATGTAAAGCATGCTGCTATCAGAAGTGGATTTTGGACCATGTTTCCTAGGCCTAAGAATAACAAGCCATGCGATCACCCAGTAGTAATCAGATTCCACCAAGAAAATGCTAAAATACGGTGGAGAATATTAGAGTTTTTACTAGTTGATTCTAGGCATCTGTATAAACTGAAATACAAAATTTATGGTTTTGTAAGAAGTACTTCTGAGCAGCCCATGGACAACCCTGGCTTGTTGATCCATGTGGATGTATTAAACTAGATTCTTGGGGTGCTGAGATTTTATTGATTGTGACCAGAGTGTCAAAAAGAGATGGATCTGAAAGTTTAAAGGACCTGGCTTGAATTCTTTTTTTTTTTAATTTTTTTTATTTATTTTTATTTTTTGACAGGCAGAGTGGACAGTGAGAGAGAGAGACAGAGAGAAAGGTCTTCTTTTGCTGTTGGTTCACCCTCCAATGGCCGCAGTGGCCGGCGCACTGTGGCCAGCACACCACGCTGATCTGATGGCAGGAGCCAGGTACTTCTCCTGGTCTCCCATGGGGTGCAGGGCCCAAGGACTTGGGCCATCCTCCACTGCACTCCCTGGCCACAGCAGAGAGCTGGCCTGGAAGAGGGGCAACCAGGACAGAATCCAGTGCCCCAACCGGGACTAGAACCCGGTGTGCCGGCGCTGCAAGGCGGAGGATTAGCCTAGTGAGCAGTGGCGCCAGCGGTTCTGGCTTGAATTCTAAATGCCAACTCTCAACTGCTGCAAATCTGGGATGGCAACTTCACCTTTGAACCCCAGTTTCTTTTTCTCTCAAAACAGGATAATCCTACCTACCTTCCTGGGCTGCTTACAGGATCACTTATCAATAACAAGTTCACAGCCATAGCAATTTATAAAGTCCTTTCATATGCATTTCTGGAATTATTAGTCTGGTAAAATTTTAGCCTATTGACCTCCAGCAGTTTCTGTCCTACATGATAAATCTTATGGGACAGGTTCCAATACAATCATTGCAGTATGTGTTCTATATGTGAGTGTTTATATAAAACGAAGCACATCTTATCTCTCCAAACACTGAGAGGTTTTTCATTCATTCATCGTAGCACATACAAACAATAATTACATCTCAACAGCCCAACTCTGAATATAGTTATTAGGCTTTAAAGAAGTGAAGATGGTGAGATGAAGAGCTTTGTCACTGATCAAAGAATGTAGTTACATGAGAGCCAAGAATCAGACCTTTAACTTGCACAACCTGCAATGTTAAGAAAGATGACCTTTGTAAAGTCAACTTCATAGTTGTAGTGCAACATAAAATTTCAAAATGGCATCTTAATACACTGAAAAACAATGCATCATCATTTTATATGTAGAAATTAACTTAGACACAGATGTTATTCATGAAATTCTACAGTAGTGTACTATATTTTCAATCAGTTATAAACTACATTAGTTACAAATAATAGATTAGGTGTTATACTGGGGGAGTATACTTTAAAATGAAAATTCAAATAGACCCATATCTTTATTAATATAAAATAAGTATAGGGACAGTATAGAGCCTGAAGTTTTTCTACTTTAAAGGGCATTTTGTCAGTACAGGCTGTTAAAGTAATTATCAAACTCATTTTTAATGTGAGTCACAGGTCATTTAAGTTGTTTGCAAGTTTGACATAAAATTCTTGAAAGCAAATCTGAGAAACTATGGTACCAGCAGGACTCTGCAGAATATAAAAAGGGTATTTTCTCAGAGAATAAACTCTGATGCTTGAATAGCATTACCTTGAATTGACAGGGGTCAAAGGGTCATAGAATTCTTGAACAATTCTGTTGCCATACCATGCTGTGGCAACTAAAGTAGCCAGACCTACAGAAATTGAAAACAAAAACAGTTAGTCACTATGCAACACTGGTCATAAGTATATAGTCAATTAAGCCTATTAACATTCATAAGAAGAAAATGTCATCGATAGTGCTGTCATTTTTATTTTAGTACTCGGGACATTGAAGATTCAGCTATGTTTTATTCTAAGTATTCTCTTAAGACATACAAATATACTAAGTTGGAGTTAGGCATAGTTTATCCTATTCATGACTTCTTTCTCATTTATAGTTCAAGGTCACTGGAGCAAGAAATGCTTTTTTGGGAAATGATTCAGCAGGTCTATATTGTTCAAAATCTTCTTGAAAGATTCATTAGTGTGATAAACCACTTCTGATGAACTAATTGTTCTTATTATGATATAGGTGCTTGCAAAGCATAAGATGAATAACTTTTTACACTCTTCCTGGTCAAACTCAAAAGTTACATTTCTGTAGTATCAAAGGAAAACAAGTAGCTGGTAAGGAGAATAGGATCTGTCTTGGAATGGACGAGAGCACTTATATTCCCATGGTTTTACCTGTGAAGCCAACATCTAGTATAGGTATTGCTTTGAGATTTGCTAAAGGTGCCACATTGGATCAATTTATACAACACAGTTTCAATTTCCCATTATGTTTTACATACCAGAGCACAAGAGAAACCACTTAGTCAAATAATTCGTTCCATTATTTATTGGAAATATAAAATTCCCAAGATGTTCTTATCCAAAGGAAATAATTGTCAAAAGATACACAATTTTAGTTTTAATGGGTATAAGGTCATGATATGTATTGCTCAAGAAGGCAACTACAGTTAATAATTCATTTCTGAAAATTCTGAGAATGTATGTAGTGCCCTCACTCCAAAAACAATAATTATCTGAGATAATGTGTATGTTAATTAGTTAGATTTTGTCATTCTGTATATATAAATATAGCTCAAGTATGTTGTACACAATTAATATGTACAGTTTTGTCCATTTAAAATATAAATTAAAATACCAAAGTACTTCTTTTATAGTAATTCTAAGAATTCATCAATAGAGACAGATTTAATGCTTCAGTGCTACTCCCTCTTCTCTCCAAAAAAGTGGTGCAACATAATTGCCTCTAATTCACAGGAAGTATTACTGCCTTGGACTACTCAAATAGACCGCATGAAGTCTCAAACTTACGACCCTTACTTTCAAAGATGTTTCTGAGACTGAACTGGAAATGACAAAGTTATTGGTTGGAGTTGCAAGAAGGCAAATAAAGGAAGAGTGCAATACAGTCAATTTATTAATAGACTTTGATATAAAATTACATTGTTGGGAAAAATGCTAATCATGCTTTTTCAAATGGAAGCTAATTTGTCTTTGGATAAAATGAACAACTGGACACTTTAACCACATCTTTACTAAAGCTGGACACTCTACCTTCATTAACCTTCATGGTTAGAACCTAATGCAATCCTAGAGCAAATGAACCTATAAGTCTTCTGTCAGAATAAATAAATAAATAATAAGAGAAAGGTCAATTCTAGTTCTTCCTAGTAGTGAATTTATATCACTGGTGCCATTTTCAAAAACAATAAACTAATATATATTAAATCTAATATATGTACATTATATAAATAATGTACATATATTAAATATATGCATGTATATTTGATATATTAAATATATATAAAATAAAATATAATAAATAGTATTATTCATCATGTTTATATTATATACATATTATTTATATAATATATTTATTATTTATATAATCCATAAATAACATATATATTAAATATATGTTAAATATAAAAATAGTATTGTTTATTATATTTATATTATATATGTATTGTTCATATATTTATTATTTATATAATATATAAATAATATATTCATATGATAGATTATATTCATATTATTTATTATATATTATAATAAATAGTATATGTGGTAGTCTATTCCTAGGCCTATATTCTATATGCCATCTATATATGTATATATTTATGAGAATCTCAAAAATGTTGATGGAAATATGTATTTAATTCCATTTCCACTAACTTTGTGATATCCTCTCACAACCTATAATATTTAAAATAAGATACAATATAAAATTTTGAAATTGTGTTGTCCATTTTTGGCTCTTATTTTCCCAAAGGACACATAATCAAACTTATCAATCAACACTTGAAATAAAAAAACATGTACATATTTATTTTCCATGAGAAATACAACCTCAGTGTTTTATCAATGTTTTCTTGATGTGTTTCAGGGCTGCTTTCTTTTCCAACTCATTAAACCTGATTTCCTACCATTTCAACATTCCACCTCCCCTCCAATTAGCCTTTTCCTCAGTGATCCCTCGGCACATCCTGTTTTTTCTGAAATTGGGTCTGCCCACTTGGAATGCTACCCTAAGTTTTCTTCAACAATCCCAGTTCCATCTGTCACTCACAGATGTGTATAATTTACAAATACTTTATATTTTCATTAACTAATCCCATCTCCTTCTCACAGTTTCTTTGGAACACTCTAGAATATTTTTGAATTTCATAGAAATGTTCCTCAGTGTTTGTTATTCAGCAAGCATCTCTATTCATCAAGGAAGCTGATTCTAACAAACCACTGATAGTTGTAACCTCAATGAACAGACCTCACTGCTGTGAGCATCTCCATTTTCATTTGGTTCTTCTTTGAGCACATAACAGTTGACTGGATTTTAGATTTCAAAAAGATTGAAATAAATCCAAGTGTAATGAATTCAACATAGTCTAAGGAAAATGAGATTTTTTTTTTTTTTGACAGGCAGAGTGGACAGTGAGAGAGAGACAGAGAGAAAGGTCTTCCCTTGCCGTTGGTTCACCCTCCAATGGCCGCTGCGGCCAGCGCGCTGCGGCCAGCACACCGCGCTGATCCGATGGCAGGAGCCAGGTACTTATCCTGGTCTCCCATGGGGTGCAGGGCCCAAGCACCTGGGCCATCCTCCACTGCACTCCCTGGCCACAGCAGAGAGCTGGCCTGGAAGAGGGGCAACCGGGACAGAATCCGGTGCCCCGACCGGGACTAGAACCCGGTGTGCAGGCGCTGCAAGGCGGAGGATTAGCCTAGTGAGCCGCAGCGCCGGCCGGAAAATGAGATTTTAATTTTGAAACATACCACAGAGAGATCAGTAAGGTGAAAGGGGAGGCAGGCCTCTCTTACCTGAAATAAGAAATATCACACCCCCAATGACAGCCATCCGCATCTTTTGCTCCTCATCATCTTCCATGCACTTCATAAACTTCATTCCAACAGTGGCCACAAAGATTGCTATCAGTCCCAGCAGGATGCCAATCACCATCAAGGCACGGGTTGCTTGCAAAGTACCTAGTAGAAAACATTTTAGAACTTGTTAAAATATTCTTAGACCAATAACAGAAGAGCAATTGAGGCCCAATCACATTTCAATGCTTAATGGAAGAAAGAAACCTGAATCTGCTTTTTGATAACCTGAAAATTTGGTCATTTTAATCATATCTTGACCAAAGCCATAGATACTCTCCCTCCATTAACTTCCATGGTTACATCCTCATATCATGCCAGAGTAAACTTCTCTATAGAAGAAAAAGTCTAATTTTGGATTCTAACAGTCAAGAGACCCCAGTTCTAGTAGTTTTCCTGATGGTAACCAACACAGGATATTCTCCAGAAACACAAACACCCGGGCTAGGTAACAAATGAAGCCCACCAACTCTAACAATTAATGTTTTCTACATTAAATTTAAAATCAACTGAGAAGGTAGTTAATGATACAATAGAATTAGTTTAGCTCAAGTAATACACATTTAATCATTACTAATGGATATTTAAATTCTGAAATAACAAACATATACATTATTCTAATTGTTAACCATTTATAATTAAGATAGTTTGCAATACATCTTTGGTATTAGTCATTAATTTTATGTCTTAATTATCAAGCTTCACAAAGGCAGGGTGAATATGGCAGACAAGTGAATTTTTTGTAGATTATGATGACTGGATGAGCAACATTTGTGTCATCAGTCACTTGTGGAAAGAAATATGAAAGCCATTTTTGGAAAATAGATAGCCAATGAAAATTACATTGGAACATAGCAGTTGATTCATATTCAGAAGCATGGTTAGTTTTAAAAATAATTTAAATTTCCATATAGAAGATGGCATACATTATCATAGCATTTCTCAGGAGTCCACTAATTTTTCTAATTTCCTGTTATTGTCTTTGGTGTTCAAATTCATAATCAAATTGACAGGGTCACATTTGAGATTATGCCAGCATATTTCATAATGAGTCAAATTGTGGCACCATGATTGAAACATATGGCCACAGGCATTGAAACATGAGCTTAAGCTGTGCCAGTTAGAAGACGCTGTTTAAATGTTAGATGTATTTCCTCCTTTAATCAAAAAATCACTCACTCATCAATAGAATTAATAAGTGACAGGTATTTTTGCTTACATGCATATTATCTACATTTGAACAGTTATGCTGTGTTGGTAGGAGCCACGTGGTATTCTGTGGAGCCACATTTCTGCCAGGTGAAATATGCATGATGATATGTTTCTTCAGGGGATTAGAATGACTGACTCCTTCTCTGTCAACAGTGACTGGGAGGATGGAAAGGTTTTGTGTCACCATAGCTAACGCAGACCTGATATCTTATTCAGTATTTTTTTTTAAAGATTTATTTTATTTATTTGAAAGACAGTTACAGAAAGATGAAGAGACAGAGAGAGAGAGAGGTCTTTCAACCACTGGTTCACTCCCCAGATGGCCGCAATGGCCGGAGCTATGTCGATCCAAAGCCAGGAGCCAGGAGCTTCTTCTGGGTCCCCCACATGGGTGCAGGGGCCCAAAGACTTAGGCCATCTTCTACTGCTTTCCCAGGCCATAGCAGAGAGCTGGATCAGAAGAGGAACAGCCAGGACTAGAATCCATGCCCATATGGGATGCCGGCGCTTCAGGCCAGGGCTTTAACCCCCTGCGCCACAGTGCTGGCCCCCTTATTCAGTCTTAATATCTTCAGGAATAAGAATTTAGGTTACTTGGGCCGGTGCCATGGTGCAATAGGTTAATCCTCCACCTGCGGAGCTGGCATCCCATATGGGCACGGGTTCTGGTCCCGGCTGCCCCTCTTCCAATCTGGCTCTCTGCTATGGCCTGGGAGGGCAGTGGAAGATAGCCTGGGTGCTTGGGCCCTTGCACCTGCGTGGGAGACCAGGAAGAAGCTCCTAGCTCTTGGCTTCGGATAGGCACAGCTCTGGCCGTGGTGGCCATTTGGGGAGTGAACCAACGGAAGGAAGACCTTTCTCTTTGTCTCTCCCTCCCACTGTCTGTAACTCTGCCTCTCAAATAAATAAAATAAAATCTTATAAAAAAACTTAGGTTATCAATCAGAATTAAAATTAAAAATTTCTAAAAAATATTAAAAGTCACTGTTATTGATATTTTCATCCTTCCTATAGCCAATCTGTGATTAAACCATAGTCATTTTTCTAAGAAGTATACAAAGTATTTTTACAGTATTTGAGATACAGTTCAGAAATCAAAATAAATTTAACTTGATTTCATTAAAAACAAAAAGGTCACTGCCATCTCCCCTCACATTTCTAACTCTTCATAAGAATCTGTAGGTGTCCATGCATACCACCCACACACTTATCTTGTGATTCCAGGTAGAGGAAATGCTGGGTCAAAATACAAGTCCCATGTACCACAGATAAACCAGGAACTTAAGTTTTCACCAGATTATTATAAATCATTTTCTTTGGAATCACAAACCATACTGTGGTATGAAGAGGAAAGTACCAAGGATTCCATGGTGAAGGTGTGTCCTTCCTTCCCATTCATTACCAGTTTTTGCAAAGACAAGCATGACTTAGCTGAAAATTTTAAAACAAAGTACTAAACTCCTATATACAACAGAGATTCCAGATTAGGTCCCAAGATTGCACTTACAGAAGGAAATCATTTTAAGCTAAGAAATGCTGAAAGAGGAGAGGTAACACAGCAACACAGTAACAGATCCTTGGGTCTGGAGATGATGATGATGGTTCCACTTTGCCTGAGATCATCCTAGCTTTAAAATTAAAAGTCCCATGTCCTAAGATATCCCTTAAATACTGGGTAAACTGGGAGAGCTTGTTACCTTTCTGAAGGATGATAGGATATGAAAAGTGAAATGAGATTTAATAAGGTGGGGAGAAGGCATGTATTATGCAAACTTTTGCAAAGAAGGGTAAGTGGCAGGAAGTTTATTCTAAGTATAATCAGAAGTCATGCAGGGTCTTAAGCAAGTAGTGACATTTTTACCCCCAGTATGGAGATCCACGCAATTAGAAAACACTATTCTTATGACAGCCCTTCAAATATGGAGAGCTTCCTATGTCTTTCAGCCATCTCCACCTTGTTTTCTCATAAACATTCAGTTTTCCAACCTTCTATTAATGATTTTTAATGTTTTCTCTCATCTTTGTCCAAGTTTTTTATTGTGTACAAGGCCCCAAACTTGACCTAGTTTTTATAATAATCAGACCAATCTGTCCTTCAAGTAAGAACAGCAGGCCACTAGTCCAGCCGGTCTGAGTACTTATCACAGGGCACTCTGCATGAGGAGTCTGCTGGGCATCAAATTCACAAGTCAACCCTCTGTAAAACCACTGCTCTCCCAGGCCATGAGCATACATGTGTAGACCACTCCCAGGCTTCACGTGCCCCACCTAGAATGATCTAATATAATCATTTTTAATCTCCAACATTTTTTTCTTTATGTTCTCAAAGAAAATACATTTGTTTCATATCATATCCATTTTTCAACTTCTTTTACACAGTTTCTAAGGATAAGGGACACACATTCTGTTTCATAATAATCCCACTATGCTTCTTTTCCTAATAGAATCATGCATTATTTACACAATATACAAAATAATGGAGAAAATAGGAATAAGTACTTAAGAATCACATGAACCATAGAGAGCAAAGGAATCATGTTTCATTTTAACAATAGGATAAAGCAGTAGTATAAGAATGCTGTTTTGCAAAGCAATATTTTTCATCGATATCCTGGCAATGATTGACTTAGGAAATTTCTTTGTATTCTACAATATTAGATTGACACCAAACACAATATCTCACCTTGCTTTATTGGAGAATTTTGATAAATTCTTAACTATAATGGAATGTCGATAAAACATAAAGATAATAACACATATGTCTGCACACAGGAGCTCAGATTCAGAACAACATGAAAACTCACTAGCCAGTCACTGGGGATAATGAATTACAAGTCAAGGGGCCCACGCTGTGGCATAGCAAGTAAAGCCACTGCCTGCAGTGATGGCATCCCATATGGGTTCCAATTCAAATCCTGGCTGCTCCATTTATGTTCCAGCTCTCTGCTTTGGCCTGAGAAAGCAGTAGAAGATGGCCCAAGTCCTTGGGCCCCTGCACCCTCGTGGGAAGACCCAAAGGAAGCTCCTGGCTCCTGGCTTTGGTTGGCACAGATTCACCCATTGTGGCCAACTGGGGAGTGAACTAGCAGATGGAAGACTCCTCTCTCTCTGCCTCTCCTCTCTCTTTTTAACTTTGACTTTCCAATAAATAAATAAATATTTTAAAAAGGTAAATTACAAGTCAAAGCAAACAACTGTGTTACAAGTTATGAGGATTTTATGTGCAGATCAAATCTAAATTTCACAGTTTTAAGCTGGAAGTGGATGAAAATAATCAAATTGAGACCTTTCAAGTTAGGGATCTAAAATATATAATTGTGAGCTCCTGTATGACTTGAGCCAGATATTTATTCATTTCATTATCCAAAACAGTAAGTAGAATACTTGGCAACTTACATGGGTATTCAACCTATGTTCAATGAGTTTAAATTAGAACATATCTTCATCCATTAGACATAGAACTGATACAATAAGTAAAAACACTTAATTTCTTGTATTTAGTTCAATATTTGAAATAATACTGAGAAAATTTCCGTGGATTTTATGGAGAGGCTACAATCTCACTATATGAAGTCAGACTTTAATTAGGCTATTAAAAGTTAAAAACTCATGTGCTCAATTCGGCAGCACATATACTAAAAACTCATGTAGAGAGGACAAATGTGTACTTTTTGCTTAATTTAATAAACTTTTATATTAGTTCCCATTATGAAGCCACACTCCCTTCCATGGGAGAACAAGGGACAGTTTGGAGAAGTTGGAAGAGATGTTTGAAAGGCATTAAATGCAATATTTTGAATCAGAGAGACAAAGTATTATGCTTGCACCATTAAGTATGAACTATACTGATTGGAGCTCAGAACTAGGAGCAAAGTATTCCTTTCCTGGCCCCTTAAATTATCAGATATAACCACAATATTATAATCACTGACTAAAGTTGTCTGTGGAGAATTTGGTTAGCAAACATTCAAAAAGCTACACTATTGTTTCTCATCATTATTCAGCAGTAAACAGAGAAGGCAACCTTTTAATTATACTTAGCTAGACCAATAATCTTGAGATTAAAGACCCCCTAAGGAGTTCTCACCATTTTCAACCTGAAAGTATAATTAAAAAAATACTTACAAAGATCTCTACTTATAAGACAAGAAATAAGTTGAGCGTTACTGATCTAGTGTAGTTAAGTTAATCAACACAAGTGTGGAAAGGCAAGCATGGACAAGCGTGTGGAACTTTTTTCCTAAATCTTCAAATTCTTGCTACATAAGCAGCAGAACCTCCTGTAAATAACTGACATTATTTAGGCTGTTTACAAGTTTCACTACCATAATATTACCCTATGTGCTTTATGCCACCAACAAAATAGACTTCATTCATGACTCCATCCTCACACAGTCCCTCTTTATATCAGCAGTTGCTTCATAACTTGGATGACTAGAACACAAAATCTCTCTTCTCCTTCTAGTTAGATGAGATCATCACAGACTGTCACTGAACTGTACTTCCAAAGAGTTTCCACTTTTTAGATTTTTCACTTTTACTAAACATTAGAGTTTCACAACAGTCCTCATTGATGGTATTTCTATTTTATCGGAGCATGAGCTGTCGTGACCTCAGAACATAAACCCTGAAAAATTGGTCTGGGATAAGTCAGCACTGACAATTTTTCAGGATATCCTGAGACGTTTTGATATCTGGTGTGTGTGTGTGTGTGTTTCTTAGAAAATGTGCTACAGGATTAAAATTATGCTCCTGTATTACCCCCATGACACTTAATCATCGCTCCAATCAAGGAGAGCTGAGCTATGTCACTGTTTTTTTCCCTTTCTATCACTGAAGTTAGTGGTAAAGAATGGTGGCACCAGAAGAAACATTAGAAATTAGCTTAGCTACATCCACAGGAGCAAGAATAGGCCCTTTTCACGTTTGTTTAAGGGACGAGTGAACCTTGGATTCATTTCACCATTCCTTCTACCTTGTCTATTTTATATGTGGAGAAATAATTTGAGCCAAGGAATATCAAGGAGGTCACTTTATATATATGGATACTGGTGCAAGACCATGATAAAAAGTGAGAACTTCTGATCTCAAAGTTTGACTTTTGTTTCAACTTCCATCATTCCAACAGATGAATTAATTCTTGAAACAGATATGAGCATCAATGGCCCTCTGACTACCCCTGGTGTAGCAGGCATAACACAGTCTGGAGAAGCATGAGTGGGTGCCCTGTTGCCCTCCTCTCTGTCTGCTTCAAAGACTGTCCAAGTCAGTGATTTTGTCTCTGATTGAGCCTGACATCATGGTGAGAGTGCTGGGAAATCTCACGACAACCAGTACTCATTAAACACACCTACACACATGTGGATTCATGCAGAGCAAGTTAAACAGGCCAGAGGAGCTTATAAACAAATTACAGAATCTCAGGGTTAGATGAGACTAAGAGAGTCTAGCCTAACCTCCCATTTGTCTGGTGCTTGGATCTTCCCCACAGCATTCCTACAAAATGCTTACTTATTCTTTGGTTGCACACCTCCCACCATGCAGCCTTCAGGGGAGTCCAATCTTCATATAGTTCTAGTTATTGAAGTCACGCAAGAAGAAGCAATCAAGCAATAAAACACAAGTTGGTAGAAACTAATTTCCCCAAAGTTCAATACTTGGATCAAAACAAAACAAAATACACAGGTTAGTCAAGAAAAGTGTACTTCATGAAAACACTCCTGTGGATATTACAACTTTCAGCTGTAGGATCCATTAATGTCAACAAACATCATAAACTGGACAGAATTGAAACCATCTCACTCATTGTAAAACCACAACACACAGTGTAATGTTTGTTTCTTCATGGAATTTCTCAGTTATATTTTCATCAACTGTTGGCAAGAACTACCCAAAAGGAGCCATGGTGTATCTAATTTCCTATACTGCCTACAGTCTTCATTATATATGGTGTAAGCATTGTGTACCTCTTTAGATACCTTCTAAAGGCCATGTGATTTCTACAATTGGCATCAGTTAAAGCAGGGAAATAGGGATTTTAATGTGTCCAGTGCTAAAACCTTGATAAATTCCTGCATCTAGACTCTCAGATGCCAAATAGTTTCCACTGGCAAAGAGAGTAAAGTATAATTTCAGGAAACCTATGGACCAGCTTTTCATCTAAAAGCATTTTATGAAACTCAATTTTTTATGAGGTACATTACTTATAGACACAGAGATGATTCTTTTCATCTCTCTATGTCACAGAACTATACCAAAACCAGCCAATGAATCATCACCAGATGTCTACATCTGGTGGGCGTCAATATCACTTCCCAGGTGGAGAAACAGAGACAGAGTTTCTTAGCTCCAGCCAAAGGCATCCAGTGAGTCATCGGTAGGTTAGAAGAGAGAACCTGTGAGTCAAGTTTCCCTCCTCTGGGAATTGGTTTTTCGAGAAAGGCCTCAGTCTCACCTTGGATAAACTATGGCTTCAACCAAAACCAAAAGCAAAATCTTGTTTGCATTAACACAAAATAAAACAGGAAGGAATTCTCTAAAATTGTGTGTTAATACATTTCTCAAAGGTATTAACTTTTTCATGGGGGAAATTTAATGAGTATTTTCCAACTACTCACTTAGAAGGTATAATTATAACTCAGGAGGTCAACAAGCATCCCTTAATGATTGACCTTTTAGATTAGTCTTGCTATAAAGTAGTTCTAACATGAGAACCTTGAAAAGTTACAATGACAACACTCAAAACCATCATACAACCTGACCAAATTCTACAGGTGTTCAAGTTACTAAAGTGGATTTGGAATGTATTTAATAACTATTCGGCTTTTCACATGCACTGTCAGTAGTCATCCCTGGCCAGGAGGTGGACAAAGCAAACGCAGTAGATATGAGTAGTGCCAGCGCTTCCCACACTGGGCACACAATGGGGCAGATGCAGTCTTGTTTATTTAGGAGAAGACTAAGGAAGCTTTTCTTCAAGGTGATAAGTGAGAATGAGGCAGTTTTCTGACATGATACTGAAACCTTTTATCTAAAACAGGGGAGTCATCCAATATCTTCATATTGAACATCCTTAGAAATATTCCTCTCCACATAATTCTTTCCAGCTTGACCAATGGCAGACACCTATCACACAGAAATTCCCACACCACAGGTGCGAATGTGGAGAGCCCCCTCTTCTCATCGCCTCTCTTTTCCAGCTGATCTGGGCCTTCGCCAACTCTGTCTTCTTGACTCCATTTTCCTTAAGACCTATTTTACTTCCCTTCATGTTATTTGGGGAGGTTACAAAACAATTTTGCTTGATAATCTTTTCAATGTGTCATTAACCTTCCCTTTTGGAAATAAACTTTCTGCCTCTTCTGAGGACCCAGGTTCCAAAGTAAATCTCTAGAAGCTTCATCAGAGAGTCTTGGAAGGGACTTTCCTGGAATTACTGTATCTTAAAACAAAAAAAAAAAGAAGTAAATAGAGGAAGAAAGAAAGAGAGAGAGAGAGAGAGAGAGAGAGAGAAAGAAAGAAAGAGAGAGAGAGAGGCCACCACAAACGTGGTAGAAGACACTGACTGAGATGGAACCTATGATGTGGGAATCTGACTTTTATTGTGAAAAGTTAGGGTGGGTGTTTGGTGCAGGTGTTAAGATGCTGCTTTGAACACCTGCATTTCCTATCTGAGTGCTTGGGTTTGAGTCTTGGCTCCCTTCTCAATTCCAGTATTTTGCTAATGTGCACCCTGGGAGGCAGCAGATGGTGGTTCAAATATTGGGTCTCTACCACCCATGTAGGAGACCTGGGTGGAGTTCTGAGTTCCTAGCTTCCCCTGGGTCCAGCCCTAACTGTTGAGTGAATTAACAGATGGAAGATTCTTTCTCCTCTTTCTCCCCCCTCCCTTTGAAAGACTTAAATATTTTTTCTAAGAAGCCATAGTAAAGATTTATTGAAAATATATCTTATTTAATAATTTTGGATTATCTATTTAACTTTACGCACTTGGAAGAATTACCAAGTATACAATTTTTATGCCTGAACCCTACCAATCAATCCTCAAGATATGCAGAATCTTACAAGAACCAGAAGAAGAATAAGCTGTCAAGTTCAAACCTGGTCTTCAATATCCCAATTTCCACCCACCCTCACGGGAATTTAAAATAAAATTCTGCCTAGAGGGGAGAAAAGTTTTACCAGCGAGTCAGAGGCGAAACTGCAGCTTAGGCTGGGTGTCTGCTTTTCCCAAGCCAAGGTACTCTTCACTTCCTCATGACAAAACACATGATCAGAAGACTTGGATCAACTAAAAACTGATAACAAGGTTGTCACAAAACAGAATAAATGGCCAGTAGGGGTTGGGGACTCTGGGCAGCGGTTGTGGGTTGGGGGATGCACTCACTGTTGAGATTCAGCAAAGAGTCGAAGACTTTGCACTGGATCTGCCCGGTGCTCTGCGACACACAAGACATCCAAAGCCCCTCGTAGATGGCTTGGGCGGTCACGATGCTGTCGCCGGCATAGGAGTAAATCTTCCATTGAGGCAGGGCGGTGCTGACGATGGAGCCGATCCAACCCAGGAAGGCCAGGATGAAGCCCAACAGCTGCAGACCCGCGTTGGCCATGGCTCGCTCTGGCGCCCGCGCTGGCTCAGGGTTGGCAGGTGTAGAAGGCGGAGAGTTTGCAGGTGCGCACTTGGGGCTCCCAGAGGTAGCTGGGCCGAGCCTAGGAAGTTACTGCGTGGAGGTCTACTCGTTGCGCCGCCGCTGGGGAGGCTTTGGGTAGGAGTCCAGATCCGCGTCTTGCTTGGCGCTGGAGTTGAAACGCGAGAAGTTGTCGTTGCTCCCAGGGTCGGGGACTGAAACGCAGAACCGCTGGGCGCTGCAATTTAAAGCAAGCAGCTTCGTTCCGGCCGCAGCCAGTCAGCGCCCCCTGGCGGTTTCACGGTGGCCCACATGGAGGGCGGCGGGGCGCGCAGGTGTCTGAGGCAGCCAGGAGTCCCTGGAGGGAATGTTCTAGGTGTTGTGAGGACCACCCCTGAAGAGGACCAGGCACCAGGAATGCTGCTGGGCCGCTGCTTCCTAATCTCTTCTCACTCTTGGCAGGCTTCTCGGGCTGTTCATTCATTTACTCGACATTTACCCCCAAAATACTATGTACTAGTATGCAAACAATAAAAATTCATCGAGGGGAAAAATGGAGTCCTCAAGAGCTTCTATTTCTCTGTTTTGCTTTCTCCGGTTTCCCTTTTTAATTTTTTCCCCTGGATCTTATTAAAAATAATTGCTGTCTAACTGCATCCTTCCCACACACATTTCCTCTTCCTTGTTCAACTGCCTGCCATTTCTCCTGTGCTGCTGCTCTACCATTTCAAGGTCTTCCCAACGTGAGGGTCTTTAGAGATCTTTGCACGTTCTATAGAAGGAACTTGAGATCCAAAGAGGAAACGTGTTTTCCATAGAATCACACAGCAAGCTGGTAGTGTGCACAGTTCTTGCCTCACTCTGCCTTCTACTCCCTGAAGTACCACTCTTAAATCAATTCTATCATCTGTTATGGGCCATTTGAAAATGGAGGCAGCTCAGTCCACCACACACCCACACACACCCACACACACACACCCACACACACCCCAATCTTCACCACAGCAGTCTGTCTTACAGCAGCACTTCATTAGCAGAGGGACCCAGCCAGCATCCCAGTCCTGCTCTAGGCTGTTGCATTAATGGATTATCGAATGTCATTCATCCAAGGTGAGTGCATCAGAACAATCTCTCTGCAGTGCCAGGAGGACAGGGCTGGGATTTAGGAAGTTTGGGTTCTGGCTCTGACTTTTACAGTCGCTGTCTGTGCCGCCCCCTCATGTTTTGGTCTAGTTGAGCCTTTAGTTTCCCTTATGGATCTCTCAAAGCTTTCCTCCTCATAGTTATTCAGAAGTGGTGCTGTGGTTGGGAACAATTACAATGTTTTCCCAACTGTTTCTTGTGTGTGGTGTAAGTGTGGTGGGAGGAGAAGTTTCTATGGTTTTAGTAAAAACGGAAGCATTTAGGAGGCAGAAACAAGCATACAAAGAGGAAAACAAGATGTGCTCATATATATTATGGGAGCTACAAGTGTGTGACAAGGAAGGAATAGTAAAAGTGTTCAGAGTGGGAATCAGAGGAGTGACAAAACATCTACCACCCTCACCTCCACCTGCCTATCTCCAGATGCCTTTTGTGAAGGCTTAAGGCTAAATGACTGGTCTGCATGGGGTGGTGGGGGATGGGGTGGGATGGGGAGGAATGAAGAGGATAAGATAGGAGCTGGGTGAAGAGATTTGATTTTGAGTAAGCAAGGTTAGCATAAGTGAGTGCCGGCCTTCTGTCAGCTTCCTCAGACCCCACAAAAGCTCTAAGTAAGCTCTGTAGTGCAAGCCATGTCCATGCTGCAGCTCCAGCATCGGGACCTATAGTCAGGACTAGTTTCTGGGTTCAGGTGGATGTTCTGGGAGTGTGAATGAAGCCTGTCAGTGTGGATGAAGGAGTACCAGCTGCAGTTGACCTTACTGATTTCCCAGATCAGAGGAGGTGTTCTGAGCTGGCTACAGGACTACATGAGTATGATGTGATACACATGATCATAACTTTTTTATTTTTTGTTTAATCTTTTCAGAATTAAAACTATTTTTCCAAGCTGAGATTTGATTCCAGTAAACATTCTATCACACATGTCTTTTTAATCCGCATCAGGATTGTTTCTATCAACCTAGAGTTGGCAGGGGATTAGAGGAATGGATTCTGTGGTCAGCAGGGCCCTGTGTTTTTGTTTTTGTATTCCTGGTCTGTGTGAGGCTGATGACTTCATCACCCACAGATCTGTCTGCAAGGCTGAAGTGAGTGCCGTTGGCTTCACTGTGACCCAGGTCCATCTCTGGCATCCTAATCTTGTCTAGTTTTCTGTCCTTAGTCTCAGGCTGGAGTCCAGGTGAGATAATGGCTTAGCAGAGATCCAGCAACTCAGAAGAAAACAAACACAGACCTGGAGCACAAATAATAAGGTCAGTTCTGTGATGGAGAACATTCTAGAAAGACTGACAATGGTGGTAAGTGTCCGAGTCTGTTAAGTAGGGAAATTTACTATGTATCCTCAAATTAATTACTTTCTTTTTTTGCCTCAGTTTCCCTACCAGTAGAAGTTAGAGGTTGACTTCTGAAAGTCCACCCAAGTCTAAAGCTGTATGACTCCAATAGTAGCTGACAATTATGTATTTTTTTTCTGTCATTTTGAGAGGCAAAAAGAGGGAGAGAGACAAAGACAGAGTGCTCCCATCCACAGGTTCACTCCCTGAATGCCTGCAATGACCAGGGATGGACTGGTTCAGAATCTAGGAGGTAGGAAGTCTCACAAGTGGGTGGCAGGAACCTTAGTACTTGAGCCATCACCGCTGCCTCTCAAGGCATGCATTAACAGAAAGCTGAAACCAGGAGCAGAGTATGGAACCTAAGTGCTCTAATACTGGGTAAAGAGAACCCAACTGGTGCCTCAACTGCTGGCCTACATGCCTACTCCGGCTAGGTTTTTCTATGTTATCTCTGTGTGAAAGAGAGACACATTATGTGTTTCCAACTCCAGGCAGTGGTGAGAGGTTCCACTCTGTGATGTCCCTCTCAGTCTCTGTTGTAACACACAGAAATTGTGGGCCTTGGGTATCCACAGTCATGTGAGGAGAGAGGTATTGTGGAAGCAGCAAATAGCCCACTGGTTGACCTCATGTGCGTAAATGACTGATGTGTGGACTTAGCCATGACCCTGAAACCAGTAATAAGTAGAAGAGATTTACAAACAGATGGAATAAAGGTGATACTAAAGGCAGAAGTGAGTGTAGTGAGATGAATTCTCAAGAGAGATTCTCAGAAATGGTTAATGAGAGTAACAATACCTCTGGTGTGTTAATTTTCAACTTAGTGATGATCCATGTTAATGGTGACTTTTTCAGGGCTTCCCAGGTAATGAAAACAGGACGGACAAATGTGTTACTCAGTATACAATATGCTGTGTAATTATTTAGAGCTTGAAAAATTTATCAGAGTATGAATGTGTAGCATGCAAATACCATTGGTGGATTCCTTTTTTAAAAAAAATATTTTATTCATGTTTTTGAAAGACAGAGTTACAGAGTGTGGGGGGGAGACACAAAGAGAGAGGGAGAGACAAAGAGATATTCCATCTGCTGGTCCACACCCCAAAGACCACAATAGCTGGGGTTGGGCCAGGCTGAAGTCAGGAGCCAGGAACTTCTCCTGGGTCTCCCACATGGGTGCAGCGGCCCAAGCACTTGGGCCAGTCTCCAATGCTGTCCCAGGAACACTAGCAAAGAGCTGGATCACAAGTTGAGCAGCTGGGACTCCAACCAGAGGCCTTATGCAACGCTGACATCACAGACAGTTGCTATGCCACAACACCAACCCTCATTGATGCACTCCTGCCATAACTTCTTAAAACAGTGAGTGTGGGAGGGAGGGAGTGTAGAGTGGGAAGAGTCTCTATGTTCCAGATTTGTATTTATGAAATGCATGAAGCTTGTATTATCTTTAATAAAAGATTTATGAAAAAAGAATAAAATCCTGACATTTGCAACAAAATGGATGCAACTGGAGATCATTATGCTATGTGAAATAAGCCAGATCCAGAAAGCAAATATCATGTTTCTCTTATTCATGGAAGTTAATAAGGAGGGTATAAAAATTGTGTGGATTTCATATTACTTAGTTTTTATTCATAAGTATTGCTTCACTAAATCCTGCCATTTGTACCATAGAAATGACAATAAATTCTTCTTTTCTCATATTAAAAAAGAGAAAAAGAAATGGAGACAGGAATAGTGAGGATCTTTGCAGTACTGTAGCTTTGTTCTTAATTTGGATATTGGTTATGAGTGTGCTTAGAAAAAAAATCACTTATCTGTACACTTGTGTGCATTTCTTTGTATGTATATTGTATTTCAAAGCAATGTCTACATAAATAAAAAAATTCCAAAAACAAAGAAGCAAAACAAAACCATAAAAGTCCCTTGAAGCTACATATAATTTTTGAGAATGTATAAGGTGTAATGATTGAAAACATGTTTTTTGAATCTTAGTTCTGTCATTAGAGTAACCTCAAAAAATTGGTACGACATCTTCTTGCAACATAAATTTTTTGCCTCTTTAAAGTGAGTTAATTCCAAGTATATTATGGATATTAAAAACATTAATATGAGTATGTTATATAAAATAATGGTTGTTTGGTATATACCAAACACACATGAAGTGGGAGATAGTATTATTATTGCAATAGATCAGATACATTAAATTTACTGGTTCTGATGTTTACAAATGATCCTTATGTTTATTCAGAGAAATCCTTTTTTACTTGATTCTATTATAAATTCATTTAATGTCACAGTTAAATTGTAATGAAAAATATGCCATGTCTCTAGCAGGAAGATACATTTTTGAATCCAGAAAATAAAAAAAAAGAAAAAGCACACAGCAATGAGAAGGATGTAGGCTTCAGATGACATTTCTAGATCCTCTTCCCAGACCTTGCACAGGTTTCCCCTTCAAGTCCTGTACTCCTCAACTTTTCATGAC